TTGGAAGGGGACTCCGAAACTTCATCAAGCGCTAAAAAATAGAAAAGCAATTAAAAGAATCTGCATTTAGAGGAAATGACAGCTGCTGCAAGCAACTGGCTAGGCGTTTGGAATTGCACGTACAGGAAATGCAAAACATGAATTAACAGTTAGCGGTCTAGGAAATTATGGGCGAAGAAAGAAAGTACGCACAAGTAAACAGTGATGAAGTTCTAATGCATAGTTACTCTATAGGACAAAATAATGAAGCTGATAAAAAGGTGCTTACATCCATTCGGGTCGTTAGTGGATTGGGAATTCCATTTGCAATTTGGAACAACGTGTCTTTTCTGTGATTCCAGATAAGGTCCGCGTTTACGGTGAAAAACGGAGTCGTTTTTCTGGAGAACAGACACCAGCAAGGGTGGAAGATTAGAAGCGTCAAGCGCCTCCGTCGACGGATTGTCGTTGAGATCGCTGAAGAACGCACTAAGGAAAGTACAATTAACTTACATATTATCGGTTGAGACATTCGTCAGAGCTTCCGCTAGTATCGACGTGAGAGTTTCGTCTTTTGAAAGCAAGCACCTTACGGCGTCATTGGACAAGACCGAGTCCGACAGGAAGGTATCGTTACCCGGTCCATATGGAAGAGCAGAAGGCAAAGGCAGCTCGGGTAAAATATCCGTAAGACTAAATACAGCTCCCAAAGACTGAATTGGTATACGGCTAATGTCGCCGTTCATTCTAAAAAAGTAGAGAACAGTGAAATTGTATAAATATAGAAAAGGACACTTTGAGCCGCGAACACAAGATGAGAACGCAAAAATACTTTTGAAATTGAAAACTTTAGCAGGTACATAATATTTTACCTAGTGCGGATATCTTTATTTATCCAGTTTTATGTTCCATAAGATAAAATCCGGGAAGAGGCTGTCTCCTTCTCATTCAACTGTGCAGACATGTTATTGGCTATCAGTTCAGATAAACAAGAATGATAGAAAGTCTCTTAAGACAATAAGCTTTGCATTGATGGTTATAATTATGCCACTTTAATACTGTTTAAGTAACAATGTAATGCATCAGTCAATAAAATCTGCATTACATATAAAATTCTTCGAAAAAGTCATTTCCAACCGGACCACACCATCTACCTCAGTTGACTTCAACTCAGTTTGTTAAAGGAAAGAGGCATGAGCCTTTAAGAAGTCTAGTTGCAACGCAAAATTGAGTTTGGTGTTCAGAGAAACAGTGTTTGCTGCGATAGTTTGAAGGGGACTAAAAATATTATACATGTGAATCTCAAGTGTGAAGTTTGCTCCCTCGTGGCTCCGCCTCATTTCGAAACATACGTTTATCAAGGTTTCTTTTAAAGTTTACTAGTGATTGTTCAATCAAAATATCAGTGAGAGGCGTTTCATGGATTCAGAATTCTGATAGAGAAAGAAAATCTGTGCATATCCAGTATGGTCAACTAAACACAGCTTGAATGCGTGACCTCGGAACTTCGTCGTGGTAAAAATTCAAAAGGGCTCACAAAAACCCAGGCGGCAATCCAAGTTCTTCGTAAAGCATGTAGTACATCCCTGCAGATTCTGCCTCTAACTCCACTGGAATAGACTGAATTGTCAAAAGAAGTAAAATATGCGACTTCCAGGAAGCGGTTTAGAAGACGAAGATGCAAAGATTGATTTGTTTAACAGCGGTTAAATGGGATGTGGGGATTCGACTTTTAACCATCTTGCTGGCTCTCACCTCTCTCACTACAGCCCAATAAATCGCTTGGTCTGGATAGTATGTCAGCGAAACTTCGGAATGAACTTGCAGAACAACTGGCCTCCCCCACTTTTTAATTTCGTCGAAAGTTATATGGAGAAGGGAGCTCTGCCTACCGAAGAGAGAACGTTGCCTAAGAGCTTTAGACCATTTAGCCTCACAAGTATTTGTTGCAAACTAATGGAGAAATTAATCAAAGCGCTACTATCGATACATACAGAGCAGAACAATTTGCTAAGCGCAGAGGAACACGGATTCAAAAGTAATCAATTTTGTCTCAGTTCCCTGCTAACATCCATGGAAAGCTGGACGAATACTTTGGAAATGGA